TTTTTTTTTTTAGTGTAGATTCAACAATAAATGCAGGTGTAAGCAGCAATCTTCTTATCTTTATTAAATCTTCACAGATCTGATAAAAAAATGTGCCAAAATGACATAAGATTAGCTTGGGAAGGTGATCTATATTACTGCTTTCTTTTCCGTGGTCCATGGTACAAGATGAAAAATGACGTCTCGTAGTCTTTGACATCATTAACTTTTTGTGTTGTAGAATAGTATGACATAGACATGCATGAAATCATTGCTGTGGATTTAAAATAATTATTTGCAAAAAAAACCAAACAACCCACCAAATTAACCACCTATAGCAAATAAAACTATTACCATGTTCTTCTATTGTGCCAGTACCGAAGCATGTTTAAAGATTACACCCTGCAGATGATGAAGAAAAGCTAAAAGGTAAAATGTGACAGGCAGTTGCTGGATTTTCAGAATTTTAAAACTGAGGTTAAGGACACAATGCAGTCCCAGTTTTTTAATAATTACCTGAAGTTAAATTCAAAGACCAGGAATCTAATCTGCGCTGCTAAAAGCCATGTATTTGTCTCCTCAGGATGTTTCTGGATCCAGGTGCTAATGTAAATTTACATCAAGTCCAGACATCTTCCTCTTGCAGACTAGTTTGATGACTAATTCTTTATAGCCTAAGATATACTATTTTTTCTTATTAATCAGTACAATTTATTTTATAATTGTTGTCAATAGCATTATCCTTTTTATTCAGCTTTATGAGGCTCCTATCTGCTTTTCCTATCACTGAATGTATTGCAAGGGAATACTTACCAAAAAATTACTATTATTTATTCATAAGAAAGGATCTGCCTATACTGCTATTGCAATAGACTACAATTACTTTATGTGAAGTTCCCAGAAAGATTGAGGTAATAACATTAAAGTTGTTGGTGAATCTTGTTCCAGACCTCTTACATAATTAATTATAGTCCTGTAACCAAATTATGCTCCAGACATGTGACTGCCGCTATTTGCAGCCCAGCTTGCAAGAATGCAGATAATTCTCTTTTTGGAAAAGGCTCTAGAGCTGAACCAATCTGTCCAGTGAGATTTTCAGTCGAGACTGTATTTGGTAATTTGGACTAGTGTACCAAAACGAATGCTGCACCTCGGTAACCTTAGAACTGGAAACCTGAGAAAGAAGCAGTTCATTTAATAAAGGTGGTATTACCAAAGAAACTCAGCATAACTCAGAATAACCTTGGAGCAGAAACATGTTCAGATGCTGCTACTGAGAGGACAAACACACTTGCTCTTTCTCTGTTAAAATCCAGTGTGTTTTGATAGGAGTTTGAATTTGAGTCTCTCACCATTTTTCAACTGTGTGAAAGTGGATGGGATCTCCTAATCCAGTACTGTTTTGAAAGAAAAATGTCTCCTGTCGAATGACTCACCTTTACTTCTAGTTTTAAGCCTGTGTATCAAATTTAGGGCACTGGTTTTGTCTCAAGAGATCCAACAGGTTTTTTGCTTCTGTTTAGTAATGCTTAAGCAATTCTATCTGTGACACTTTTTTCTAAAGCCTCCTAAAGAGATAGAGACTGTCATATTGGGTTTAATTAATAACTCTTAAAATAAATGAAACAGATGATAAAGCTGTTTCTTAAAACCATTTAAGAGTATATATTTATTGGAATTTTCAAGAATATTATTTACAGGCTTAATTTGCATTTAATTCAATGGGAGTTACACTCCTAAGTCACTAAAATGCTCAGTGGGGTTTTCAGATGCAGCCAACTACATCTTTAGGCACCTAAACCCATTGAAAAGAGAGCTTTGGCCAGCATTTTCAGGGAATACAAAATCCTGTGCTTTAACAATCTCTTTCACAAAACAAGATGTTGAGATGACTTTACTGAAAAATGTATTGATTTTATTTTGTTGCCAAGTACAAAATAGCAAAGGTCAAAAGTAATGCTCAGGTACAGAGTATGAGGTCACCTAAGTGAAGCTTTGGAAATGGGATCGTTTTTCTTTTCCATATTTGTGTGTCAGGGTTCAGGGATAAATGAAACTGAGCTGTGGACAGTAGATCTTTCAAATGCTGTTTTGATACTTCGTATACCAATATCAGGGAAGAAAGTTTTTTAGATTGAATGACTAGTAGAAGTTTTTTCTAATTCAATTCCTGAAAGAATGCACAGGAACCCAAACTTGGAACAAAGTTGGCAGCTGGGAGAGGACTTCTGTCATCTCATAATCTCTCAGTTTGATCTACTGAATCCAGGAGAACCTGATATGAGATAATACACATTCTGAAGAACTGCGAGATGTAAACAGAACTATCAAAGACTGTCTTTTAAAGTAGGTCCAGTAAATGCAAATATTTCAATAGTATTTGAGTTGCAGATCTGGTTGGGTCTTAAGTATCTTCAAATATTTGTGACATTGTAAGAATTCTAATTATTAAAAGTTATAAAAATGCATTTAGATTACAATTTGCTGCTTTTATACAGTATGCATAAGAGGAGGAACTGCAGGAGTGTTATAATTACAAATAAAAAGCAGTAATTGTTGAACAGATAAGAATTTAAGTTTTGGGGGGCAGGAAAGCTGACAGTACAAAAAAAGGTCACCACTAGGAGCCGATACTGCTTTCCAAACTGTAGAGAGGACCGTGGCTGTGCTGCATTCTTTCAGCTGGTGGAGGACAGGTCTGCCAGCCAGGACTGTATGGAGCTCCTCAGCAGCCCGTGCCTAAACCAACAGGGACTTCCCTTCCCTTGCCATAACAGACTGAGTATCCAGGAGTTCCCACTCTTGACAGCAGCACTGCTGTGGTCTTATCTAGAACCACAGTTTCACTTTTTCTATCCGTACTGTCAGCTTGACTTTGCTCCCTTCTTTCTGCAATCTCCCAAACTTTCCTGACTTGCCTTTACCAAGCAGCAATATTTAATGATTCTGTAACTGAAACAGCCAGATGGTTCACAGGGACTTCAGACATGCCTGCGTCAGCCTGCAAAGTTAGTTGCATAGCTCTAATCCTGTGCAACGCTAAATATCTCTGATAGAACATGGATAGAAATTAGGGTACACTCCATACTTTAGACTGCTGGTTGCATTGATGGAAAAGCTATGAGGAGCTGAGATGCCATCATAAACCCACCTAGAAATCTGTGATTCAGAGGGAAGCGTGAAGGTAAAGTCTGGAATCCAGAGCAGAACATGAGGAAGAAAGTAAGTTGAACTGCCAGAAACAGTAAGGTGCTGATACTGTAGTGTAATATATTTCCGCAATTTAGTGTTCTTAGTGCTCTGCTGACCTGGGCCCAGGAGACTTGGACTCTGTCTAATACCTATTCACTACATCCGTGTGCTGTCCAGGCAGTGCAGCATCAGAGTGCAGATGAAATGGTGGAAAACGTGTGCCATTTCAGCTTGCATCAGCCAGGGTCGCATCCTCTGCTTCCCCTGCTAGCCGAACATGGTGTTCGGGAGGAAGAGCTTCAGAGTCAGGGCAATCCCTGCATGTCATTTCAGCAGGCAGAGGATGGAGCTGTACCAATGTACATGGTGTACATAATATTTCCTAGAAACTGGAAGAAGAGTTAGATGAATTGCCTGATCCCTGTTAGGAGGCTGTTGGCTCATTGAGAAGATAATTATGTTTCTTGTTTTCTCTTACCTGTTTTGGAAGGAGTCAGTTTCTTTCATCAGATATGCATCTGTGGGAGTATGCCACTTGTTCTCTAGTGACCTTGCTACAGATGTTCATCTTTATTTTATTTAGGGAAATTATCAGCAGCTGCTTCTGTCTACTGTCATCTGCCCTGGTTTCTTCCATATTTGCAGTATGTAGTTGGGCAAAACAATTACAAAACAAATACAAGAGACAACTCTGAGGAGCTAATTTAGGTCAAATGCAGTGAATGAAAACAAACAGTAATTAGTAGGGGAAGAGATGGAAGAACAGAATTATGCTGCTATATTAAGTATTTTGGGCTCACTAGGTAGTTATTTTAAGTATGCATTCTATGGCACTGACTCTTTCAGACCTCTCTTTTTCTTCATTTGCTGCTTTCCACATACGCGTCTGAGGAAGAGTGCCTTTGACTTTTGTACTATTTGTGGAAATAGTACATTAGTTTGCAGTTTCCAAGGAAGGAGGGAGGGAATTGGAGACTGTGCTACATGAGAGAAGGCAGTGCTGCGCAGCGGGAGGGAGGCTATGGAGTGGGTAGCCAGACTGGCATCGTTAGTCTTCAAAGAAAGGCCTTGATGGACATGTGCAATCCTCAATGCTGATTATGAGAAATTCAGCAAAGAGGGTAGGAACGACCCAGTTGAAGGATTTGCATAGGCAATTGAATGAACAAAAGCAATAGAGATTATTTTTATTGCATAGGTTTGACTGCCACACTTTGAGCCCCATGAACAGGCTCAGTTATTATCACTGAAATGATATTTCAGTGATAATAACAGCTGCGAGTGGAGATTGTTTGGTATAGGTAAAAAATACATGGTTTTGGCCAACTTAAACTGAACTAGTATCTTGAAAGGTGTCTGTAAAATTATGTAAGAAGAAAAAAAAAAGGATTAATCACTGGAAAAATAGAAACAAAACAGGCAACAGCACAAAGATGATTGCAGACAAGGAAGAATAAGGATGAAGAATGGGACTGGAAAGGTGGAGCAATAAGAAGGAACTGCATTCTGGCATGTTAAAATAGAAATCACAGGGGAGGTAGCCATGAAAGCAGGGTTGGAGAGAGGAGGATTTAAGTCCACCAGTAGAACTAGGAGGTATAGCAAGCACTTCCTATGAGCCAGTCAGGAATACCTTGTCGTTTGGCTGGTAATCTGACCAGCATCGTTCTTGAGTGCAGGTGATGTTTTCTGTCACTGCTTTCTCTAGCATGCAGATATTTGAAAAGTCATTTTAGTGCTACAATTGTCCATCGTTGATGAAGTCTGTTGTCTTTGTTCACAGTGCTGTATGCCACAGGTGTCTTCATCATGGGGCTTGCTTCACCATGTTACTGTTTCTTTTCTTTCTTTCTAATAGTTTTCATTTTTCTCTGCTTTCTACCATGAAATTTTTTTCTGGGAATCTTGTGCTTATTCTTCTTCATCCATTTTTTAACTTTTCTAATCCGTGGGCTCACACAGAACTTTCTGCCTTCTATGTAGAGACTGCCAGAGCAAAAATTGGTTGTCAGTTTCAAAGAAAAAATGTAAACCCCCCAACTTTATAAAGGGATCACCCTTGTCATTCACCTAGGAAGACCACTAAATTAGAATTGGTTGATCTTGAATTACATTTTATACTATGTCTATTCTCTTTTGTCTGGTTTCGGATATGTAAAAGTTAGGATCTAAGGTTTACATGATTACACTTGTCTTCCAAAATCTGAAAAAAGCTTTACTACTTCAGTTGATCTGAAAAGAATCACAGTGCAAAACAGTATATTTCTATGGTCAATAAATAAGTAGACGACTTTATTGTTATTGTTGTCACAATCGTCATGCAAATGTCTAGAAATAAAAAATGTCCAGGATTTATTTGAAATTTATCAATTTAACCCAAACAGTGTGATATTGTACCAGCCCAAAAAAAAAAAAAACCCCGAAAGAAAAGAAAAGAAATAGTTTATGTACAAAAGTAAAGCTGATTTAATGAGCTCAGGCAAGATTTGTAGAGGACAAATAGTTGGAAAAAAACAGAGAAGTCTTAAGGTGCATGAGTCGTTCTTCAGTTCTGAATATAAAGTGTCAAAGTTAGTGCAGGCTGAATAAATATCAATATTATTACTGGAAATGAAATTTAGTTTTAGCAGTCAGAAGTTTAAATAGCATAAGGAAGGACAGTTCTTAAATCACACACAATCTTGTTGTTCATTGAATTTGTGTTAGCATTCTAAGATTCTACTTGTTTAAATGGTGTCTAATAGGTTTTAACTTAACAGTACCCCTTTCAGAGTGAAGGACCCAAAACTTCTCTTACATAACAGCTTCTAGGTGACACAGGCCAGCCGCTTTCTGGATATCAAACCTCTCTACTCTTTGGAGAATTCTTCCTGGAATTTCGTCTGAAATTTCCGTGCAACAGTTAAAGGCCCCAGGGAACAAAGCTAAAAGAGTAATAACAATGTTAGAAACAAGGGAGATATGAAGGGGACAAGTCATAGCTTGTCTTCACAGAATCACAGAATGGTTGAGGTTGGAAGGAACTTCTGGAGGTCATCTGGTCCAATCCCCCTGCTCAGGCAGGGCCACCTGGAGTTACTTGTCCAGGACCATGTCCAGACACCTTCTGAATATCTCCAACGATGGAGACTCTACAACATATTTGGACAACCTGCTCCAGTGTTTGACCACCCTCACAGCAAAAAACAGTGTTTTCCTGTGTTCAGATTGAATTTCATGTGTTTTAATTTGTGCCTGTTGCTTCCTGTCCTGTCAGTGGGCACTACTGTGTAGAGTCTGGGTCCCTCTTCGTTCATTCCCATCAGCTATGGGAATGATGGTTAGAACACCTTGATGAGAACTCCCTTGAGCCTTCGTTTCTTCAGGCTGAACAGTCTCAGCTCTCTCAGCCTTTCCTCATTTGCAAGATGCTCCAGTCCTTTCATCACCTTTGTGGCCCTTCGCTGGACTCTCTCCAGTTACTCCATGTCTCTCTTGCACTGGGGAGCCCAGAACTGGACCCAGCACTCCAGATGTGGCCTCACTGTGCTGAGTAGAGGGGAAGGATCACGTCCATTGACCCTGTGACTGGTACTCCCTGCTCTGAACCCCTGGTAATGAGGTTAGCGTAACTAACACCATTTTATAAGGCAAGCAGCCATTCTCTGTGACCGAGTCATGTATTTGTTCTATTTCCCTCATTATTAGGCCCTGAAGGTGTGAACCAAGTAGACAAACCAAACAGATTTCTTCTTCCCTTCCCTACCAGCCCCCAGCATATACTGTTGCCTGGCATTACTCCTCCCCAAATGCAGGACTTTCAGTTTCCTCTTGAACTTCCTGAGATTCCTCTCTGCCCATTTCTACAGCCTGGTGAGGTGTATCTGTAAGGCAGCAAAACCATGTAGTGCATCAGCCACCGCTCCCAGTTTTTTGTTATCTGCAAACTTGTTGAGGGCACATTCTGTCCCATCATCCAGGTCATTAATGAAGATGTTCAGCAGCATTGGCCCCCATGTTGATCCATGGGGTACACCACTGGTAATCTGCTTCCAATTGGACTTTGCGCCACTGATCACAACCCTCTGGACCTGATTGTTCTGCAAGTTTTCAGTCCACCTCACTATTCATTCATCTAACCTGTGCTTTGTCAGCTTGTCTATGATAACATTATGGGAGGCAGTATCAAAGGCTTTACTGAAGTCAAGGTAAACAACATCCACTGCTCTCCTCCTGACCAACAAGCTAGTCATCTCGTTGTAGAAAACTATCAGGTTATTCAAGCATGATTGCCCCTTCATAAATCCATACTGACTACTCCTGATCACTGTCTTGCCCTTCAGACCTTTGGAAATGCTTTCCAGGAGGATTTTCTCCATCGCCTTCCTAGGGGATTGAGGTGAGGTTGGCCAGCCTATAGCCCTCTGGATCTTCCTTCTTGCCCTTCTTGAAAATAGGAGTGATATTCATTCTCCTCCAGTCTCAAGGAACCTCTCCTAGTCGCCATGACTGTTCAAAGATAATTGACAGTGACCTCACAGTGATGTCAGCCAGTCTCCTCAGCACTGGTGGGTGGTGCATCCCATCTGTCCCTGTGGCCTTATGTAGGTTCAGTTTTTTCAGCTGCTCCTAATTTGGTCCTCCATGGGATTCTTCCAAGCAGGTCTCTGAAGAGATTGTATATCTGCTCTCCTGAAATCCAGAGCCATGATCTTGCTTTTTTTCCCTACTCCCCTCTCCTAGTATCCTGAACTCCACCATCTTACAGACACTGCAGCCAATGCTGCCTCTGACTTTCATGTCCCTGACCAGTTCTTCCTTGTTTGCAAGTATCTGGTCCTGCTGAGTGCTTTTCTTTGCTGGTTCCTTGATTACTTGTGCCGGAAAGTGTCATCAGTACACTTGAGAAATCTTGTAGATTGCTTGAGCACTGCTGTATTGTCCTTCCAGCAGATACAAGGTGGTTAAAGTCCCCCATGAGGACCAGGGCCTGTGAACATAAGGCTTATTCCAGGTGTTTGAAGAAGGCCTCATCTGCTTCTTCCTGGTCAGGAGGCCTATAGCGGACACCCAGTAAAATTTCACCCGTGTTGGTCTGTCCGCTAATCCTGACCCATAAGCTCTCAGTTGGCTTATCGTCC